TGCTGAAATTACTAGAATACGTTATCTGACACACAAAGCATCTCATGACCTGAAATAACTTTATCAACCATTAAATGCTTGAACAATGGGTGCGTGGCCACAGAAATACACACGGAAATGCACAGGAGAAGCCACATAGGCAATAGAGTGATTTAAAACCAGGAAAACCAAACCAAACCAAAACCAGCACTTTACTGGCAACAGTGAACATGCAGAAAGCAGGATCCTGCAGCAGCCCCTCGAGGTGCTCGGCCGCAGGAGGCTCGGGGGCCAGATCCTCATCTCCAGCACCCGTGTGAGACGGCATCGGCACCGCTGCAGATCCCCACCCGCAGCACACAGGGCTCCGTCCGAGCCCGCTCCCGGCCCTCGGCTTGGTGCCTCTGGGCCAGGGGAAACCCAGCCCTGCTTTCTGTGTGCTTCTGCTCCAAACTGGGGAGCAAATGGCAGAGATGGGGGCAGTCAGGCTGCCCGCAGGGAAGATTCCCCCAATTAACGTTTGCTGAGCCTGCAGGCTGGTCTCAGGTGCTGCGAAGCTGCTTCTCTGAAGCTGTTTGCTTCGGGGAGGGGGAAACGTAACCATCTCGGTTCAGTTTCTGAACCCCGCCACGTTTCATTGCCTCGCCAACCACGGAGAGCAATTTCTCATTGCTTCTCACTCGGTGACCCCCAGGCCCCGGGCGGGGGCTCGGGCCGGCTCGGCTCTGCCACTGCACCCTCACTGGCCAGCAGCACCCAGCGGCTGCCCACAGGGCTCGGAGAGCAGGCAAACACGCACTGCAATCGGTTTGGAGGAAAAGGGGAAAAAGGCGAGTCTCGGTCAGCGTGCGCCCCGCTTTCTGGGTGAGAAACCCCCCACCCACGGGCCAGCGTGTGCAGGTGGGGCTTCAGCCCCTCTCGCACCCTGGTGCCACCCAACGCCGCAGCCCCGGCCGGAGAGCCGGGCTGGGCCGTCCTGCCACCCTCCCCGAAGGACGCCAGCAAACCCGTCATCAAGCTTGAGCTGAACAGAAAAACACTCGAGCTGCCTTTCTGAGGATTACCCCTCCAGCATCCTCACACCCCACAGCCGTGCAGCTCCCAGCCCTGTGGGCACTGCCTTTTTTAGCCTGGAAAAGCCTGCTTTTGCCTTTATTTTTAAAAATAAAACTTCGTTTGCAGAGTGTGGGAAGGTGATTTCAAAATAAAATTCCAGACAGGCATAATAAGCCTCAGAAAAGCCAATCACACAGAGGATGATAATTATCCACAGAGTTTGTTTTCTGTGTATTTGTATAAAATAATCAATGATTTTTTTTCCTCACAGACTCCAATCCACTTTGATTGTCTTTTCTGTGTTACTTGCAAATCATACAAACAACCGATGCCCTGACCCCTTCTCTATGCAAACACAGCTTAGAAAGAGACTACAAGAAATAAAATCCAGTGAATTCCTCCATGCAGGACTGTTTGTTTAAAAGCTTAGCTGGAGCCCGATCCTGTTCACAGCGACCTCAGTGATACAAGACTGGGCCTTTCAAACATGCTTGAGGTATAATTATTGCCACAAATATCAGTGGGAATATAACCTTAGTGAAAAAAACCCAAACAAACAACAGAACAAGAGCAAGAACCCGGGGTGAAGGTGATTCCTTTTAAAAATGTAGAAAGCAAAATGAAATCCCCCCAGGCACAGCACACTTCTGCTGCAGAGGAAGGGCAAGGCGAGCGTGCAGCCGGGGCTGGGGGGCCTGGCTGGAGGCCCC